AGAAAGGTCAAAAAGAAGAAATTGCGACTTATTATGAGTACGACACGTGACAGAAAGATAGAGTTGCAGTTTTTTGAGAATTTACTTGTGGTTTATATAGAAAGATATAACCGAAACCAAACACAAGACTAGGGTTTTCTCTTTTCTCTCTTTTTCTTATTTCTTTCGTCCGAAACCAAAAATATAATCACATATATTTTTCAAATTTTGTTTTTAATTCTCTTCCTCTTAGGTTTCCGGTGATGAAAAAAGAGAAAGAATCAAGTAACTGGGCGGAGCTTCCGTCGGAACTGACGGTATTGATTTTCCTCCGGCTTAGCATGTTTGAGATATTGGTAAACGCTCAGAAAGTGTGCAAATCATGGCATCGCGTCTCTAAGGATCCCTCGGTTTGGAGGAAAATCGACATTGGATTCTGTAAACAAGGTTACAAGTTTGATAGTATGTGTCGCCACGCCATTGACCGCAGCCAGGGCGGTTTGGTCGAAATCAACCTTGGAAACTGCTGCTCTGATTCTCTCCTCTCCTACATCGCTGACAGGTTCACTATTGTATTTTTCATTGGTTAAGAAATCTTAGAATGTATGAATGTGTTTGTTTCTTTCCTCTTTAGGATTTAGGGTTTGGATTAATTGGGGTTTAGGTAAAAATATCCGAGTCATATTATTTTTAATTCTTTGTTGCTATAAACTTTGTCAGAATTGCCCTTTGGTCTGGCATTGTTGTGTGTACCTACTTTTCCATTGTCATGGTCATGAATGAACAATATTCTCGTAGTTTATTAGCAGAAGAAGACCATTAGCGTTTGATCTTATGCCTTGCGTACTAATCGTCCTAATTTGAGCAAACCATTGTTCGTGACACGTTTATTCTTTGCTCATTCATTTTAAAGTCGATAGCGACTATGATTCTAATTACAAAATGCTTATGAGCTCACCAGTAGTATGATATTTCTTATATAATATTGTTTTTTGTTGTTGTAATGTTTATGATCTAACTCTATATATGTTATTATTCGCAGATCAACTAATCTGAGAAGCCTTGGATTTAAAATGTACTACCGAGTGACAAACGAGGGACTTGAGAACGCAGTCGCAAAACTTCTATCTCTTGAAGAGCTTGCGGTCACACACCCAATGGGAAGGTTGAATTTGAAAGCTATAGGCTTTTCTTGCCCAAAGCTAAAGACATTGAAACTAATCTTCTCAGGTTTCGAGCCTACTTCTACTTCGATTAGACCTGAAAATCGTGATGCCATTGAAATCGCGGAGAGCATGCCCGAGCTACGCCACCTCCAGCTTCTTGGAAACGGACTAACTAACGTTGGGTTAAACGCCATACTTGACAATTGTTCTCACTCGGAACACCTTGATTTACGCCACTGTATAAACATTAACCTTGTCGGGGATCTCGAGAAGCGTTGTTCCGAAAAGATCAAAGTTTTGAGACGTCCGCATGATTCAACCTATGATTGTCCATTTAGTATCGATGATATTGATTCAGAGGATGACTTGGGCTTAGTATGTGATGACAACGACTACAACGACGATAGCGACATTGAGGTAGATTATGACCATCTGGCTGGAAGGGTGACTGCGGTGGTCTTCTTCTGAATCCTGAACTCATTCGTATCTTTTTTTCTTTCTATTTTCGTAGTTTATAAGAACCTCTGAGCGTGTGTGGTTGTACCTCGTACGATTACGAACGATGCATGTAGGGCTTTCATTTTTCAGTGGGTACGTTTTTGTTGTCGGACGAGTTAATTATTTTAGTTTGGCCCCTCATATTTTCCTTCGAACTAGTTATCAGAATTAACTTAGAATGTCATGGTTACGAGCTATATCATCTATCTATCTATATTTATAATTATGAGGTGATTTTCCCTACGTGGTGGGCTCTACGATGAATTTAAGAATTTGTTTGTCTAAAATACCCTTAAAAACTTTATTTAATTACGCTTTTATTTTAACTCTATTAATCTCACAAGCATATAATAGTGGTAAGCCCAAAACTTTATAGTCACAAAAGAATGTTAGTAAAAAAAAACCTAGCTACTATCCCTATAAACTTGATAACGAGTTTAAAGGATTCTTGATATAAACTTCTATTTTGTTGTTGTCTTCTGTTTTGCAGGTGACATGTGACGTAGTATTTGTGAAACCCCAAAAACATTGAGATAGTTTGCAAGAGTAGAACATCCTATGTTCTCATGATCATCTAAATCACATGTTATATGAAAAGGATATTAGTTTTTTGTGTATCATCAATCTCCAATAAAAAAAAAGTGTTTTTTTTTTGGGTTTTTGGGACAAAGCAAAAGAAGTAAACTGAGACGAAAGTGTGTTTAATTGGGTTTTAGTCGGATTATGAAACAAAATATATTCAGAACTGTGATTAAACACTAAATCCACCTAAAAATATGACTTATTAGTGATTGAATTACCTTTAACACAAAAAAAATAATTTATCTAAGAAAAGGCAACTATATATAACTTTTATAACCCATATGTAAATATTCGTTACTGACTTACTCATATGCTTTTATTCTATTGATTAGTCCTGTCTTGTATCTTACTAGATGCGTAAGTGTGACTTACCTCAAAATCTATAAAATATTTATAATTTGCTATAAATATAAAATTATAAATTTGTGTCAAGGTTTTAAAATTTATTAGCTCTTTGCAAGGCCTCTAATTAATTGTGTGTTTCTACGCTCTGGTTTCCAGTTTCATAAAATTTTGCTTAAGAATGTTAAACTTCAGAATTCTATCCATTCGACGGAATTAGTCACCAAGGTATATATGTTAGGTTTCTATATGAAACGTGTCGAGACACATTTTTGTATTGGGAACGACTTGGGTTCGATGGAATTATCACTATTCCGGATAATATCCGAGTGGTTTGTGGTAGTAATGATAACAATGAAAAAGCATTTCATAGATCATATAATTATATAATTATATGTTTATGATCATCTCAATAATTTTAATAATATTCAGTATTAGTTTTATAAATAATATTATCTTCGATTGATGAACTATATATCATGGAATATTACATGTTTACAAGATATCACGACTAATACTGGATCGTGATGGGTAAAAGCTGTGACGGAACGCATATAATGACTGAGACGGAACATGTAGGGGTTGAGACGGGAAGGGTAAAGACTGGGACGGGAGGGTAAGGGCTACTTAAAAGGATCAAACTTTACATGTTTATATTAGGATTTAAGCTAGGATCTATGTATTGTTTTTAATGTTTATGTAAATTTATGAGGATTTAGGCTCTCATGTTAGGGTTTAGTATCCCTAAATTTTTAAAAACAAAAATGATGATATAATATAGATGAATATTTTTAAATGTTTTCTTAAATAAAAACTAATAAAAAGTATAATTAAAGATGATAGAAATGAGAAAACTCAAAAAAGAAGATGACCATAGTAGTGAAAAATGGATAAAAATATCATAAATAATAGAATTAGTTTTCTTCAAAACATATAAATTAATATACAAAATAAGGTATTGTTTTGAATATTTTACGTTCATTCGTGATGTTTTAGACTTACATATTAGGGTTCAATACTATTTAATTTGTTTAAAAAAAAAATTTCTTTAATAGTTTACATGCATTAATGAAGATTTAGGCTCACATATAGAGGTTAGTAACCATTTTTTATTTCTCAACAACTTAATACACATTCGTTTGTTAC